ATAGTAACAGGGTCGAGGTTCATAAAGTCGTCCAGATGGTCGATCATTTCCACGAGAATATTCATTTTTAGGTTGATTCTCCAATTTTCCTGTGAGTGACTCAATTGCTTTTGCCAAGCTATCAACCTGTTTCTGAAGTACTTCCGGAGGATTGTCGTCCATCATCTTCTCACGCTTTTTTCCGTCGCCTTTCTTCTGGTCCAGAGTCCTTTGCATCGATTGGTTGGCCTTGGCGAATCCACTAGCTGCAAAGACATTAAGTGACCTTGCTCGAATTTCATCCTCAGCTACATCAATTACATCCGAAAGGAGGGGTGGTTTGTTATAACCATCCTTCCCTGTAGGAATGAGGTCTGCCTTGACTAGCTCTCGATTAATGCTCGTCTGTATATCTGTTGAAAAAGCTAAAAAGAAAAGGTGAGAGACACTGGTTTCATTTACTATATGTTCATTTCTTACCAAATACTTAGTTATTATCATGAACTTTGACTGATAAGTTTTGAAATCGTTCAGCTGCTTGATTCCGCCTTTCTTCTGACAGAAATCAATCAAATTGTAAAGGTCCTTGATCGTGTACCGAATCTTCTTTGCCACGCCTCCCCAGACTTCTATCATGCTTGCACGAAGAAGTGTCCAGTTCCGCTGCTCGTATCCGTCCATCGATTCCAATTCCTTCTTCAATTCTTCTACCTTCACAAATCTACACACTTGACGTGCTTTGTCATAGCCGCCAGCACCGTAGATTTCTGCCGCCAGTTCGAATCGTTCCAAAAAGTCTTCAAAGTTCTCGCCTTCATATCTTAAGTCTGGTTCCTTGATGATGACTGCAGGCCTAGGCATAGGCTCGTCCATTTCCTGAATGTCCGGAGGTAAGCCGTAGGTTCCCGCAGGGTAGTTTGTTTGTTGAGTGTTCCCAGAGCCAGCTGGGTCGTCGTTTTGGTGAATGTTTTGATGAGCCCCATACCTTTCACGATAGTGCCGTACTCGAGTATGACTTGTTCGCATTGGTGGTGGGGGTAAAAGAGGTGGTATTATTGGTAGATCAATATTCATGTTGGGATTGTTTTGATTGCCAGAGAATATTCCAGTTGAAGCTGGGTTGGTTGTCGGTAGAGTCGGTCCGTCTTGAGCCTGGGAAAACGCCATGACTGAGAAATAACTGATTCCGGTTGCTTTATCTTGAGTTGAGTTGTTGATAATTTCTAGTAGTAGTCCTAAAATCCTTCAAACTAATGTCGCTGGTGTTCTTTATCCAGGGCAAGGTTGGGGGGGGTT